TTACTATTCTTACACTACTTCATTACAGTAAATGTTATGTACACCGTAATTGTCATACATATCAGATATAATGCCACATATTGTCTAAATTAGTTATAAGTATAATATGTATGATGTACAACCTCCTTTCTAAGGAGAGGCCTATGTCCAGCAGTGGATTAGTTAGGCTGTTGATGATGATGATGTATGATGTGGTAGTTATTATTAATAAATAAATAAAAATGTAGGCTTCATTAAAACAAATATCACATAACATTTCGGAAAATATAATTATTCTAGCTCTTTATAACTACTACGAGTTTAAATCAAATAAATATTAGTTAATAGTACATTTCTCATACATAATTTACGTTTTGACAGATGATAGAACGTAACTATTTTGACTTAGGTGTCAACTACCCTATTTATTATTATAAATATTGTTTGTTCTGTGTCTGGATGTAATTTAGCTATACTCGTAATATGTATATATTTAAAAAATTAAAAATATGTTTATCAGCAGTCTGGTTACCAGTTAGTCTGGTATCTAGTTTGAGATTAGACGCCCGTGTGTAAGATGTGCCAAGTGATGTTTTTGTACTGTAATATTTTAAAATTACTTTTAAAAATCATCTCATTTTATATTTCTTTACTTCAACAGTTTTCTTAAAATGAGTTATCAACAAGAATTTTTAAATATAAAGGAAAAGTCTTGCGATTTTAAAAACAGCTCCTTGAAGATCAGTTTAAAAGTTTTTGAAGCCACGCTGTAGATAACAAAATTTTAAACATCTCATTTGACATAAATTTGCATAAATAACATTATCATATACCAACCTACAGCACTCCAGAATAACGAAAGTACAAGCGAGACCTTTACAAGTTACATTAAGTTCAAAAGGATTTGAGAAAGATTTCTATATTTCTTTACGTGGAGCTGAATATTACCTGGTTTAACTATTTATTTTCCCGGGTAAAAATATTTTTCTTCTCCTGAAAAGGTATAATAATATACAGCAAAGTTTTTTTACTATGGTCACAAGGTAATATTCACATTTTCGTTATATATTTAAAAAAGTTAAGACAATATAAACAATTATATCAGTATTAAAGAAACAAGTGATCTATGATGATACCTAGTTGATAATATTGGCTTGAGATTACGATTAACGATTTCATTGACCATACATCAGAAACAATTTTAGTTTTAAATTTAATTATGTAACTCAGAACGAGCCGTCTAATTATTAAATGCCAGATTTTAATAAAATTCATAACGGTAACGAAAAAACTATTTGTAACACTTGAAACACTAACTACCAACATTATCCAAAGATCGCGTGGTTTAAGTCCATCACAATTTAAAACTTCGGAATAAAAACAAGTATTCCTTAAATCAAGAGTTGGAATGGGCTGATTAATCAAATACTTACAAACTCACTATTAATAACACTTTCTTTTATTATTCTGTTGTACGCCGTATTGTTATTCTAATGATTAAAAAAACGGGGTTTTGAATACATTATGAATAACGTTATTACGTAAGCGCAGAATGTCATGCACATTATGGAGTAACGCTTCATTTCAAAATTCGAACATATATTATAGGAGAATTTCCAATACCTAATCGTCGTCTCAATCCTGATGTGTTATAACTACTGAAATACCAACCTAATGACAGCAGCATTGTATTGAGTGCATGACGAAACAGAATTTATGGCTGAATGATCACACTAGTTAATATAAACACAATATTAAAAGTCATTTTAATAATATAATTATTTTATCCATAGTAGGCAAAAACCTCCATTGTAAGGAGAGGCCTATGTCCAGCAGTCTATTGTTAGGGGCTATTGATGATGATGATGATTTTATCTTGAAGTACAAGTATAAGAACATACAGCACACAATTTATCATCACGACGTCAGTAATTACATGGAGAAAAATACTTTTTCTGATATTGTCGTTTATCGCCATTGAATTTTTTTAACGTTCTTTTATTAAGTAAAAAGTTAACATTTCTCTAGGTATAACAAAAATATTGTTCAAAAGTAATCATGAACTGATTAAAGTTTTGTCAAAGATTCCAATTTTTCTCAAGGTCAAGGTAAGGGCAAAGTCGGTCCGAGCTCGTATTAAGCTGAAAGATAATACGACATAAAAGATCCCAGGAAATGGACCACCATTATCTCCAAAATGGCTAATAATCCTCTTTATATTATAACTAACCTTATCAGGTAATAAAATACATTTGTTTCTGATACGCCTCATTTGTTGTTTTGATGAATAAAAACGTTTTTAATAGTCGGCAACGAATTCACGAAACTGCTATTTTGCGTAGTCGTTATAATGTTGACTGTTCATGTTCCGTGAAATACGAGTATAATTATATATACGGGCATAAACTTTATGTATTTATTAATTTTCTTGGTTTAATATTATACTTTTGAATTGCCCAATGTTGTATGTATGTAACATTAGAGACAAAAAATCATGTTTAGTATATACATGATTTTTTGTATAATAATATTTGAATATATCATATGATGTGCCCTGTGTGCAAGACCTGCTTTTAGTGTGTGAACTTTTGTGAAATATTGAATGAATGAAAATTAATGAAAAAACTCACGATTATCTCGCGTGCTAAAAAATGGCCTTTGTTATCTAAATGTATTGTTTTTCATCATTATATCCTTAATTTAATTTTTTAATGAAACTAAATTTACTACTGCAATTTGTACTGTTTTTTTTTGTATTTTGAATTTCCTTTGTACGACATTTACGGAGTAACATGATGTATTTTTTGGTTCACATGTTTATAATTAAATATATGTATTGTATTTAGTTATAGTAATCTTACATGTATCTGCTTTTTGTTCCGATAAATTAAGAAATAAATCGTCTGATATCGTATCCAGTGTGATGTAACCTACGGCATCATGGTGTCTATGTAATAATGGGTATTACAAACCTTTTTCAACACACCGGATGTACATCCGTCAGTTCTTCCTCACTATATGTTTCACAAAAAGGTGAATAAAATACGAAGTACATTTTCAGAGCAAGCATCCTAACTCTTATTAAAAAGAACCCTAATAGTAAATTATCTGGGTAGGTCCCTCTAAGCTATATTGAACTAGAAGATCCATTTTTCAAAATGAAATAACCGCTTCCTTTATTTTTTTTTCTTTTACGTAGCATATTTTTTATATATAAAACGTATGAATGTTAAACAGTGGAATCAAAATACTAGTTAAACCCGATACGAAATACTAGCAGTTGTTAGAATTCACACCCAAAATAAATAGGTAAAGAGGTTCCAATAATATTATCGTATTATTTGTTTGCGTGGCGTCAAAACTTTAAGCTCATTTATTATTAACTTCCATGACAATATTTGAGATAGAAAACAAATGTAATGGGAAACCAAATAGGGTCCTCGATTTTCTTTCTTGTACAAACTTGACCTCGTTGCGGCTTCTCATATTAGCAGAAATCAATTTTCTGTTTCTGATTTTTTAATCATAAACAGAAAATATAATTTAACATTAGATCATTAAAATGTCTAGATAGACCGTCAAAGGTGTGTAAGCATCGAAAAAAATACTATGTTCGACTGTTGGCTACTAAATTTGTTACCGCTGTCGATTTGCATATCAGTAGTGTTATCACTGTTATTATCATCATCAGCCTATCGCAGTCTACTGCTGGACATAGGCCTCTCCCATTGCATGCCACTTAGATCGATTTTGGGCTTCTCGCATCTTCTGTCATTATAAAGGCTTCATTATCTCACATCCCAGCACAGTAAAGTTAGCCCGTTTGTATAAGTTATTTTGTAGTGCGACACTCCATCTGGACATATTTATGTTCTAAGGTCATAACATTCCTAAATTAAAAACTTACTAAGCCGCTTTGGCCCAAATTTATGTAAGAACAGTTGACAGTAGCATATCTGAAATGCCGCAATGCGAATACAACGGAACTTATTATGACTAACGTCCAATTGAAATACTTTTGCTATACGAGTACCTATGCAGAATACTAGCGAAGCGAATAGCGAATTTAAAAATTCCAAAGCTGAGTATTTATTCACATCAATTTCGTTTAAAATTGTAAGCAATCTTCTTTATTCTACCGAAAAATATAGAGTTACTCTATATTTTTCCTGAATAAATTTCCCGAAAGCTAGATAATTTTAAGCGGCCGCGCTCACGATGCTAGCATTCGGAATTTTGCCCGAATCACACATTGGGTTAATCCCTCGAGATCTCCTTTAACGAGGTGTTTTTTTTTACTGTACAGTCAATGGAACGTGATGGCTTTATCAAAAGAAAATATTTATTTAAAACACAAATAAACGGCGGTCACTACCAATTACTTATAGTACGTATATACATTGACGTTTAATTGGTATGTGAAATTAAATTCATCAACTTGAATGTTCGTGCCTTTTAACTCATTAACTGAAATGACATGAAAATGTCAGTGCAATTTATAAACGTATTTTATAAATATGACAAATGAGTGATATACACAATTTTAAATAGATTAAAATGTTACATTTATCAAAAGAATAGCAGCCATAATAAAATCAACTCCTACAGTCATAAATTACTTTAATGTATCGACGAGACCTTAATTAGTAAAATATTATCTGCTGCCAACAAATAAATGGAATGGACTAGATATTATCATTTTTACAATTCTGTTCAAAGTCAAAGACAGTTATGTATAAGTCTACGTTCGATTTTGTTACACTAATAAGGTTAATGGATCCAAAGTTTTCAATTTGTGTTACGGAATACGAGAAAGGACAGCGCAGCTATTAATTAAATGTTCATTACTTTTAATGTCAGCTTCCACGTGGCTGATTTATATAGCATCATCTATATATTTAAAAATACAAACTGCATATGACTAGACACAGCTACATTTAGAACAACAAATATAAATCTGTACACGAGAGATATTCTATTTAAAGTCTAATATCACAAATGTCTTTGTTTCACACTTAACATTAACACAACAGCATGCCAAATACAACTAGAATTAAACACGGAGAAATTTTGTCGACGTTCGAAAATGCTTTAAGCCTAATTTCATTTTGAACGGGGTGTCCGTATTCCTCAGTTTGAATTAACTCTTTTGGACAAGGAAGAGTTTCAAGGGGTATTTCGGTGAGTTTCGTTGCTTTTGATAAGATTTTTGTGTCATAGTCTTCATTTTTATCATAGTACTCGTAAGTCTCGTCAACGACAGCATTATCGTTGATGTTTTCGTTATCTTCTTGATCGTTTAGCTGTCGTTCTACAGGATCGGTGATACACGATATTTTTTCAAGAGCTTGCTTTAACGTGAAATCCCGTGTTTCGTTTCGTAACGTGTATATCCAGGAAAGGCGGCAATCGCAAGTGAGAGGGTTACCTGCAAAAAAAGGTAAACGGTTAGATCTTGAGACTTACGATTACTATTAGATGCTTATTTATCTGACATGTTGTTGAGCCAGAAGGTGGAAGGAATCTCAAGTCATTATTACAGTTTTATTGTCCGCAAATATTTTGCATTGGATGTAGCTTTCGGATAAATGAACTAAAACTAAGATATCTTGAGACAAATCACAGAAAAGTGATGTTGATATAAAACTTTGAATATTTTCCTATTAGAACTAATAAGAGCACGCATGGATAAATTTTCCGTTAGTTCAATCAAGTCTAACCCTAGTGAAAGACGTAACACCATGTTTTGTACGTACGTAATTATAGTATATTTATATACTATAATTACACACATTATATACATATATAAATAATATGAGCTTAGTTTTATATGCTTATTGATAAAGAAAAATATTTACAATCAGTGATTATAATTGAAACCTTGGTGCTACAAGACCCTACAAGATTTCTACATCACTCTTTTTTTTTTTTTCTAACGTGTGGAAATCCCCTCGGACCGTCACCCCACCGGGGTTTGCGGCGGGGTGGTGTGTCGGACTTGGACCGACTAAAACCACACGGTGTGCCACTCTGCGCCTGTAATAGGAGGGATCCGGGAACAGCTGTTATTAAGACATCCGGACCCCTCCTAGCGCCGGCCCGCTCCTGTTGCGGGCCCCGTCTCAAAATTTTCCTCTCTTTAGGCGACGTCCGGCACACGCGGACGCCGCCCCCTCGCGGCTGGCCAAACTAATGCGGGTGGAGGGGAAACCCACCCCGTCCACCCGCGGCCACACTTAGGGCGGCATGAGGCGGTGATAGGCGCGCCTCCACCGCCCGGTTCGCCGGCGGCGTATCGGGTCCGAGTGGAGGTCGTCCTCCCGGGCCTTCTCCGCCGCCTCCTTCTGCGAGATTACTTCCTCGCAGAAGGTTGCGACCGCGGTAAAACAACTGTCGCTACCGGCCATGGAGCGTACTACGGCCGGTAGCCAGAGATCCACTCCGATGACTGCAGTGAGGGCCCGGCGCTGCGTCGCCCATGCGGGGCAGACCGCCAGCGTGTGCTGGGCCGAGTCCTCACTGCAGTCGCAGTGGTGGCAGGCGGGACTCAGTTCCCTCCTAGCGACCGAGTGCAGGTACTTTCCGAAGCAACCGTGCCCGGAAAGCACCTGCGTCAGCCTGAAGGTAAGGGTCCCGTGCTGCCACCCTGCCCACTCGGCGATGACCGGCTGAAGAGCCTCCACGGCGGCGAAGCCAGCGCGTGGAGTCTCCAGCCGGAACGACCAACGAGCCATCGTGGCTCGGCGAGCGGCTTCGCGCCACTCGCGCACGTCTTCGGGCGGAGGGCGAAATCCGCTCTCCGCCCGGGAGTCAGCCACTCGCCGATAAACATCGGCGAGCACTTCCGCCTCCAAATCCCACGGGGGAGTTCCGGCCAACGCGCACGCCACCAAATTGGGCAAAAGTCGCCCTAGGGCAGACGCAGCGCCGACCAGCTTTGGAGCAAGCTGTCGGAAGTGCTCGTCGAAGAACGAGGACCGAGTTGACCACGATTGACCAGGGGGTGAAACACGACGGGGCCCATGAAATAAGAGAGCCTCCGTCTTATCTAGGGCCACCCGTAAGCCCAGCGCCTCAGTGCACCCGACCATTTCTACATCACCCTATACCAACCCGTCAGGCCAGCGTGGTATAGTAGGCCAAAACCTCCTTTCTAAGGAGAGGCTTTTGTTCAGCAGTGGACTGGTAAAGGCTGGTGATATGATAAGTATTTTATATGGGAATAAATTCTACAAGCACACTCCTTATTACGTGTAATAAATGTTTGTTTTTATGTTTAAGTGATGTTATTAGAAATATTTGTGACATGTAGTTGCATTAGACACAGTTTTGATTGTTTGAAGTAATTTTTAAGAATTACTTTATAATGTTATATTTTAATTGTTCATTAAAGATATAGTGAAACGACACATTAGATTGGCGATCGCATAAGAACAAACCAGTAATTGTGTGTGTTTTATTGATATGGACTCCAAAAGTGGTAACTCTGACCTAGCGCCGTTATATAGGATTACATAGGTACAAGCATATTTCACATTTTTTAAAACAAAATAGCTACATTAGCGAACGCCTGCTTTACGTAAAAATCTTTTGTTAATTCTTTTGTTATATTTACGTCACGCGTGTTTATGAGAAAATGTGCTAAAGAGTTTGATTTCTAAGCAAAATGTGTCCTCAGATTGTTAATAATTCACCCTAATTATAGAAAACTTTTTTGTGTTGGAGGAAGCCAACGAGTAGATGGATCACTCGATATCCTACGGACACTTGCAACTCAGTCGTCACCACCCGCCCCCACCCCCTTTTTGGAGAAACCTTACGAAGTTTGGGCCTTCGGTTACTTCACTTCTTCGGTCTTATGTCTCGGTGGTGATAGCAATAGGCTTTGTTGAACGTGGAATAAATTGTAAAATTTTCATTTCCATTACTCGAAAATAAAGTTTACAACAAAAGTAATCCAGTCTGTTCTCTAAGCCTCAGGGCTTTGACTATTGATTACTTCACTAATAGTTGTCGACTGACCTTGGACTCCGATCAAACACCTGGTATTGTCTTGTCTTGGTCAAAGTAAAATTCAGGCAGACAGGTTATATTATTCAGTACTTATTTGAAAAATAAAATATAGGATAATTTGATTTACAATGAAAATTGTTATAAAAATTAGAAATATATTACAAAGTCGGAATTAATTAAGACTAGCTTTTGCCCGCGGCTCCGCCCGCGTGTATGTCGGTAAAAGGTAACCTATGTCACTCGCTGATAATGTAGCTTTCCATTGGTGATTTTTGTAAATCGGTGTGGGGGCAAACAAACAAACGAACAATTTAACTTTCACATTTATAATATTAGTATGCTATTTTGTTTGTTTCAATGGCTTTGCTTGTTTATTTATATGCATACATACAATACATATAATCTTATTTTACGTACACTCATGTTACATAATTGGCGTAACTTAACAGATATTTAACACATAACTTTGAGTGATATGGTATTTGAGTTATCTTAGCCCATTTTAACCCTCTAATTCTATGTGGTGGAACTCAAAAGTGCCACGCACTTATGACTATTGGGTTGTAGGTGTTAATGGGCGCACCAGTTACTTACCATAGCGACCTGTCTGGCCCTCAATTCTGCTATTTTAATATTGAATCGATAGATTGTCGATGGAATGTCGTCGGAATAGTTTTGCACTTTTCGTATTCTACTAACTATGTAAGACCAATGGCCTTGTTGGCCTTGTATGTAAGACCAATTGACTTGTCACTGAACAACACTGATATAAATGTCGTCGATGTCTTTGTAATAGTTTAGTAAATGGTACATTCGAAATTTAATTAAATTTTTCCGGACAATATTTTAATGTCTACATCGTCGGTCTGTTGACACGGTGTATTAGTAGAATACCGATATTTTGATCGATGTCAATTCCATCTCAAGATCTCTCATCTCGTTCTCTCTTTTACTATAAAAAGAAAAAAAAAACTCAAATATGTTATCGTAAGGAAAAAGTATTCGGTGTGTTCCTCGTATTTTTATGACACAATACATAAAAACATTACGACATTGAAATAGTTCCATGTCTGTTTTATTGTGCACGATCTTTTAAACCCACTAAATAAGTTTGATAATAAAAACGATTTCTCCTTTCTAAAATAAACTTTAAAAACATATTTACAAAATAAAAATAGGTTATTAGGGTTCTTTTCATTAATTTAGTTATATATTTTGATAAATAGGTTTTTAATATAACTAGCAAGTACACATACATATTTCTTAACCATCATTAATATGTAACGTCATATTTGGTGGGCCCCGTCGTGGTCCACCTCCCGGCGCCTCAATCATGGTCAACTCGGTCCTCGAACCGGTTCAGGCCCAGATATTTCATCTGGGCCTAAACCGGTTCGACGGGTTCGTTCCTCGACGAGAGGTGGCTCTTCGACGAGCACTTTCGGCAGCTTGTTCCAAAGCTGGTCGGCGCTGCGTTTGCACCTGGGTGACTTTGACCCAATTTGGGTAGACCCAGCGTCGCAACGAGACGGCTGTACACGGGGGTTGTCTGGTCAATGGCACTGTACGGTGCACCGGTGTGGGTGGCGGGTCTGACCGCCCAGAATAGGGCGCGTCTCAGAGGATATTGGCGGTTAGAGCCGTTCGCGGTTACCGCACCGTTTTGACGGAGGCGGCGTGCGCATTGGCCGGTACTCCCCCGTTGGATTTGGTGCTCGCCGAGGCATATTGGCGGATGGCCGAGTGCCGGGCGGATAGTAGCAGTCGGCCCCCGCCCGAAGAGAAACGCGGGTGGCGTGAACCCACCCACTTTCTAGGGTATACCTGGTTCCCCGGCTATTAGTACCCGAGACGGCGTGCGGTTTTAGTCGGTTCGAGTCCGACATGCCACCGACAGGTGGTATTCAAGGGGATTTCCTCACGGAAAAAAAAAAAGGGTGGCATGAACCCGCTCGCCAAGCCACGATGGTTCGTTGGTCGTCCCGGCGCGAGGCTTCACATGCTGGCGTTGCCGTCGTAGAGGCGCTCTAGCCGGTTATCGTCGAGTGGGCAGGGCGGCAGCATGGGACCCTTTACTTCTGACAGACGTAGGTCCTTTCTGTCACCACTGCGATTGAGTGAGGACTCGGCTGAGCACACGCTGGTAATTTACCCGGCTTGGGCGTCGCAGTGCCGGGTCCTTATTACAGTTATCGGAGGGGCCCTCTCGCTACCGACCCTCATAAGCTCCATGTCCGTTAGATGCTTTACTGCGAAGACGTCATCTCGCAGAAGGAGGCGGCGGAGAGGGCCCGGGAGGACAACCTCCCTTGGTTCCAATTCGTCGTCGGCGGACCGGGCGTCGAAGGCGCGTTTACCACCGCCTCATGCCGCCCTGAGTGTGGCCGATGGTGGACGGGAAGGGTTTTCACCTCC